ATAATTGTATTAACAAGTAGCATCTGGAATTTATTCAATTTTACACAAATCCTGTGTTGTTTATGAATGAACTTAGCTTGAGAAAGGGAGTGTGATTTTAGCTGTATAACAAATAGATCCTGCCCTTGGGTTGGCCAAACTGTCAAGCCTGAGAGCACAATGTGTTCTTCCTAAGTGCCACTTGGAACCACCAATGGAGCCATGAGAATTCTCACTCTAGGTTATCTAGAGGAGCGAGATAGGGTTCCCTCTCTCATTTAAATAATCCTGGAAGCAGAGATTCCCAGGTTCCTACATTTAGTCAAGGAAGGGAGGATGGCAGGTGATCTCTATTCTTTGCAGCTCCCGTGTGCCTGGGGGCGGGGGGGGGGGGGGGGTTGTACACTTAAAAAAATTTTATCCTGCTCAGAGTATAAAATAGGAAACAAACTGAGAATCTCTGAAAACAAACCAAGGAAACCATGTTGTAAAATAAATTAGGCAACTCAAGTGCATTTCACAAATAATGTCTCTTTCATGAGGAGGAGGAGGAAAAGGAGGACAGAGACCTGCTCTGTAGCAACAAACCAAATCAGCAAGGTCAAAGACCTTGTACCATTAAGAGGCACTCCCGCCCCAGCAGGAATGAGGCCCAGGCCACCCTAGTTTCAAGGTCCTTGTTGCTACACAGATTAATGGCTAAAGGAAACATTATCCAAACAGTTTCACATCAAAGGCAAAATGGCAAGCTGATCTTCCTTAACCCAGCCAAGTGAGAGGTAGATGATGTGCGTGCTTGGGAAGAAGGCTTCATGCCGTTCCAGAGTGGATTTTCCCAGGCTCCCCTTCCCTGACATGCCCACGCCCAGCAGTGCAGAGCCTGCCTGCCTGCAGCCCATGGGCCTGGCCCTCTCCCTCCAGACTGTGCATGTTCCAGTGCACAGGTCACACTGGGAGTCGGAAGAGATGGTACTGTGGTATGCATACGGGCCTCAGAGCTAGGTGAGGAATCATGACTTTCTCTGACCCAAGGAGTGGAGGAGTCTTTTGTTTCAACTCTTTGAGAGATGAGCGTGTGGTCTTATGTTTCAAAGCAATGCAAGAAATGTCCCTCTCATGATTCTTGCCCAACAGTAAGGTGGACAGGGACAGGAAGAGTGTGGTCCTCCACCACATCTACTGAAGGGCATGCATGGTACAACCGACATTCTGTGACTCACCTGTACTCATGACTTATAAAAGTAGAGAGAAGTCACATCATTTGCTTCTTGGGAGTCACAGCTCCAAACCTGCTACATTGTGGAGGATAGCCATCTTTCAAGCTTATCCACAAGACTCTTCCATTAGAAGATGTTGGGTCCAGCAGGAGTTAAGAGAGTGGAGCAAGATAGCCACTGACTCTTGGAGTCTGAGCACCTTTGAAGAGCTTCTTGAGGGTAGTAAATGTGTCTGAGCCTTGCACCAAAATGCTTGTGGAGAAGAGCTGGGGACGGGAAATGGGGCATTCATTCCTTGAGCCCACTAGTTTCCGAGCCCCCGCTCTTGTCTCTTCAGGAAACAGGGTGATCAGAAGTGTGACAGAGCCTTGTGGGATGCGTATTGTCCAACCTAATTACAGCTTCATTATCCCCCTCCCCACCTTTATTTGCATTCTCATTTTCAATTCCTGCCATCTTGTGCTGTTTTTATTGCTATTATATTTTAAGCATTCCTGTGACTGACTTTTAATATTCCCAAGGCATTAGTCAGCCAAAACAACTAGAGAAGTGAATCAGAGACTCCATAAACACACACACTGGCAGCCAGTGCTTGTGTTCTGGTTGCACCTGCATCCCTGTGCTGCCCCTGCCAAGAATGTGGCCAATTGGCTCTAACAACTTCCACACATAGGGCTTCTGTCCCTAGTCCTCTGAGCCTTGACACCTTTCCAGTATCTTCATATTCATGCACTGTTTTTCTGGGTGCTTCTCCTGACCCTGGGCAGAGAATCCACCAATTTCTTCTAATTTAACATGGCCTAAATCTGTCATCATGAGCTCCTGTGTCCACTCTCCATGAGGTTAGGGGATGACAGGAACCAGAGTCAGCGGGGCAGGTGATGGGCAGTGAGCCAGAAGGCTGGGGAGGTTGCTCAGGATGTTGCCTGGCCCTGGACAAAGTGCTCCTGTGGGCTGGTCACCTTCTGCCTGGGCTGACTGGCCCGGGAATGCCACCACCTAGCTCCGAAGAGGCCAGTTCAAAGTCGCCAGGGCCAGGGCTTCTCGAACCATAGTCCCCAGCTCTTCACCTCTGGGGCTCTGTACAAGGGGTTTCTGTGCTATTACCTACTCCGTGACTCCTTCCTCTCTCTCTGACACAGTGGTCCCTGTTACTTTTACTGCATTCTTTCTCGCTGAATCTGGTCCTGCATCTGTCTCCCATTCCGGATACAGAGCTGTCCGTGGTATGTTCCAGCCATTGCCCCATCAGCTGGGCCTGTCCAATTCCAATTCCCCTGTCCAATTCCAAGCTCCAGTCCCCTATCTCCAACTACCTCCTGTGACTTCATATCTGAGTAACTCATCACCACCACCACCCCCCGACACCATATACACACAGTAGAATAGAAATATTGTTTCTTTCTATTCTCTAGTCATGGCATTATATCCTGTCCCTTATTTCCTAGAACACACGAAGAATTAGATCATCAATACAGATTTACTGTTTTTTTTAAACATGAATGGTACAAGGAAAATTTCAGAAGTTAATTGAAATTTTAAAATATCTCACAGAGATGTAATGTTAATGGCCAATGAATATATTAGGTACATTGATGACATTCATAATGCCATCTTCATTTGCCTTTAGCTTGAAATTATAAAGAGATGAGGTTTGAGAAACGTCATGCTTTTGAAAATTATCAAATCATGTCTGTCTGGTTCTGGGTCCTTTGACATGTCAGTTCCATAACAGCACCTTTCCAGAGTACTTTCAAAGGATTACTCCATGCCCTTCTCATTCTCATTTTCTTCCTGATGGTTCAAGGAACCAAACCCAAGGGAGATTCACATAGACCCATACCATTATTTTAGAGTTCAGCCACGTTCTGTCTGTATCTTGGAGGAAAAAGATCTTAGTCATTAAAGCCAAGAATCCAAGACCAGAGAGACATGTCTCTTCCTCCCTAAGTCTGGTCTCCTCTGTGGACACATCAGCAGTTTCTGTTTTGGGTCACTTGACCAGGACTTGGGGAGAGATTTGAAGTTTAAAGAATGGACACTGCTCCCTAAAAGTTCACTTCTGAGAAGATAGAGTGCAAATAAGCTCAAGTGGTCACACAGTCCCCTTTGATGGCATCCTTTGGACGGCTGCAAAAACACTGTGTCAGGGTGTCAACTTTGGAGCTCATTTCATTTTGGTAAATAAAAATTAAAGTACTTCTAAGTATCATCAGCAACAGGAGCGCTAGTCATATAGGCTGTTTTTGTGAGAACAAAGCCCTAGCATGTCTCTGTTTTTGTCTTCTGTTGGTTTAGGGACTACACCTGGCATTGCTCAGGTGTTACTCCTGGCTTTGTGCTCAGGGGTCACTCTTGTAGACTCAGGGGACTATATGGGATGCCATTAATCTAACCAAGGTTGGCCTCTTGCAAGGCAAGGCCCTATGTGCTGTACTATCTCTCTGGCCCCATCGTGTTAGCTTTCTTAGAGATTATTTCGAATAAAATTATCATTCTTTGTTTTTCATACATGGTCATACCAGCTTTCCACATAAAACTGTACACACAAATGGGATTTTTAATAATGTCAGAAAATGTGGGTTATGTTTGCTTTCCCACATTCTGCCCGGCTTCTGTTCAGTAATGGAGACAGTCACCACCCAAGAACTGAGAAGACCCATATGGACATAGTATGACATAAAGACTTAGAACACAGCCAACAGAGTACACAATATAAATGCTTTATTGCTAGCACAGAGGGTTTTTTTTAAAGTAAATTGAAAGAAATAAATCTTCATTTTCACATTCTATATTGCAGTTCAAAGGTAACTAACTGGTTAATGGATATGTTCACTTGGACAAACACTACAGGAAGAGAGAATGACATTTACATGGAGAATTCAGAACTGTGGTGACTCTCGAGGCCAGGGGCCACTGAATACACAGTCTTCTGTATGTAATAGCAAGTAGCGATTTCTTTAATCATGAGTAGATAAGGGTTATAAATAGAAAACCGATATGGATAGAAAGCAGAAAACTGTTAAATACACCAGGCTACATATGTATTGTCCACATTTCATATACTCTAGGTTACAATTGGCACTTTTAAATAAATGATCTTCATCTAGGTTATAGTGAGACTGGATTAGATGTAGCAGGTGGAGAGAAGGAAGGAGAGGAAGCTGGCACGACCCACACCAAGTTGGTGGAGTCGTAGAGAGCAGAAGAGGAGAGGGGCTGGGAGGAGGGTTGCTTCCTCCCTCACCGGGGCAGACTGAGAGGCAACAGTGGTGTGGAGACAGAGCCTCCCTGTTTGATGGAGGAACTTGTGGGGGACATGGCAACTGTCCCAAGCTAGAACTCTGTGAAAGGGGAACCTCCAGAACTGACAAGGCTTTATCAACTGCCAGTGGGCATAGGGGGCATTAGGGCATGATGGGCCAAAGTCATACTGGGGACACTGAACAGCAGGTGCTAGAACAGTGAGGGCTGGGACCCAAAGCCACCATAGATTTCATCTGCAGAAATAATTGCATAATAAGAATGGTCAGCAGTATCAGAAATGGAAATATTTCTGCAAGACACCCAGAATAACATTTTTTCTAAATCCTGGAGACTACTGAGGTTGGTTTTTGTTTTAGGTTGATTTTAAAGATAAGCTTTGGAAAAGAACTTACTGGTGTATAAAATACAACAAACCAACCCCTGTCTTATTCCAGAACCACCAAGAAGGAATTAAATGTACCCTTGGGCACCTGAGTGCACAAACATGGGCCCAGACAGTGTGTTCGGAAGCTGTGAACCCCACACGATGATGTGGAATTTCATCTTCCTCTCTTCTGGTGCATGCTACGTGTGGATGTCAAAGAAAACAGGTCAGGTCAGGAGGCTCCTGAGCCCTGGTTTCTCCACCGTGCATCTGCAGTGTACACCAGACCCTGGCATTCCCAGTCTGTGCTAGCTCTAACTAAAACCATCACATGTTTTGCTTTGAAGAAATGGATAACATGAAACGGTAATTTGGCTGCAAAACCTTGGAAAATTGTTCCCGGCCCAAACATCTGCCCCCAATGAGCTCAGTTCAGATCTCCTCGGAGAAGCAGGAAGACGGCAGTGTGAGCAGAACCCAAAGTGGAGAATGGGGGACTGAAGACAATGGCCAGGCTCCCTTTCCTCAAGCGAGAGAAGGGGACATGTCAAATCACACAGCTCCCCTACTCAGCCGTGGATACAGAAAGAGACCCTGGATACGACTGAGACCAGTTCGCCTCCCTTCACCCTACAAGCCCCAACATTTGGTATCTCTAAGGTGTTCCCTTTACAGAGTGCCAAGAACAGCCCAGCTGGTTTGCTTTAGTTACACAGTGACCAGCCTGGCCTACACACTATCGGTGAAATCTTTAAATAAGGAGTGAGCATCAGCTTTGGATTCCTGAGAGCTGGCCCCCAGGGGAAGCAGAGGAGAGCTGGGCAGGCTGGCCTCCACCTGCCTTCTTAGGAGTTCTTCTGGGGGATCTTGACTGTCACCGTCTTGATTTCAGAATATTCCCGCAAACCGAACTCGCCCCTGGAAAACAGAATGGACAGAATGAGCCACCAGAGGCCTTTCGGGTGCTGTGGTCAGAGTTCTGGGGAGAGACAGCTTCCCATCTGGTGCACATGCACCAGAACTCATCGGCAGAGCTCTGGTGCACGTGCAGACTTCCTAGTGGGGGACCAGCTGACCAAGGGAGCCTCCCAAAAGCAGCCCAGATTTTCTCAAGATAAAGGGGGTATTTGTCTTTGCACTTATGCACAGAAGGATGACAGTTCCCAACCTCTCAGAGAAACACGTCAGGCTAACCCTGGGCTGTGCCCATATTGACCCCTTGTGGCAGGGCCCTGTCCCGAACCTCTGTACTGGACTTCTATGCCCAAGGACACTGGTTCTTCAGAACAAGGGTGAGCCCTTCCTGAGCCCTTGCTTCCCACCACCAGACAATTTCTGAGAGGTCTGTGGTCTTTTTCCTGCACTACAGAAGGGGAATGAGCCTGGATGGCCCCTCCTGGGATGATGTGTCCTCGTTAGCTCTGGCCAAGCTCTGAGTCTCTTTATGACCAAGCTCAGTGCTGGCTGATGCACGCAGCTGGACTTTTTCCTGCCCTGGGGCAATTTTTAATGTGTCTGGATATTCATCCTGGATATCATCTGCCTCCTGCCTGGTGCCAGATCACTCCCTCCTCACTTCCTGGCCTGGGCACGCACTTGAGGGCAGACTTGGAACCACTTTCCTCCCACCCTGCTCCTGGAAGAGGCCGTGGGAAATGTCAGGAGGCCCATGGGTGGTGAAAGACGACAGGTTTGGGTGTTTGCAAGGTGTGGGGCATGATGTGGGATGTATGGAACACACAGAGTCCGAACCAGGCAGAGGCCCGGGGTCCAGGGATCTGTGCGCTAGGATCTCCCCTGGAACTCTGCAACCAAGAGAGGTGGTATGAGGTCTGAGCTGCAAGGACAGAGGAATGTGGGCATAGTCTGCCATTCAGTGGGAGTCCAGCGGCTCTCTTGTGTCCAGGGCAAGGCTCCCCCAAGAAGCTCAACCAAACTGAAGAGATTTCTGACCTCCAAGCCCTGGCAAAGATTGTTCCTTTGTAAGATCCGGTGAGGACCCAATGGGATATTGTGCCCTGTGGAGTCTTCTGGGCTCTGGGGAACCGTGTTCTAAGTCCTCTGGAAGTCCAGAGGTGCGGGTTCTTGACTCTTTCAGTCCTGGGCCTGACCCTCCACTCCAGTCAGCAGATTCTGGGGGCTTGTGGGCTGCATTTTGGAGGAGGGGAGGGGCAGACACAGATTCGCTGGGGGAGACTCTTAGGGAGTCACATTCTGCTTCACAGCCACTGCCGTTTCTTCCTGAGAGAGAATGAGCTTGGCACCACCTACCCTCAGGCCTCCGTCTCTCGGCCAGAGAGAGGCATTGGGCACCTGCTCAGAAGCAACCTGAATGCAGGAAGGATTCTTCCCAGACTAAATCTTTTTCTGTCCTTTTCTTGGGCTTAAGGGCTACAAAGTTGCTTTGGCTTATAGCAGCGTTTTTCAGAGGAAGGTCCCCAGATCCCCTGCATCTGAATCAATCCAAAAATTTATTAAAAATGCAAGCATCCTGTGACTGGGAACTCTGGGTTCCACGGGACTGGGAACAGAGATCCTCTGCTCGTTTTCCCCTGTCTCTGGTGACTCAGCGGCCAGGCCCATAAACCACCTCTGGCTGGCACCAGATAATCTCATTGTTGGCCACCATCCAGATCGCATGTCCTTCTCTTCTGGAAGGGAGCATAACATGATACTCGCCATAGCCACACCACTGGACCCCATGCCAGGCTGTTTTACTCGGCACACCCCAGAGGGGTGTGGGTGAGAGTCCTGCCCGCTCCAAGGGACCCAGCTTGGCAGAAAACCCCCAGAACTCAACCCGCTGCCATGCTCATGGCCATTCTCCACACATTTGGGCTGAGCCTCACGCATGAGTGAACCTATTCCTGGACCGCCGTGAGACACTTCATACCACACACCCTACCCATACTCCAAGAGTACCACACCACATTTTATGGGGTTCAAATAGTAGGCAACTGATCACAGAAGGAAATACATACATACATATATAAATAAATTTATATACACATATATGTGTATACATATATATATACATTATAGATGTATATATACACAAAAGTTCATAAGGCTTAACCTTTAACAACATGTTAGTGATATCATATAGAAAGTCTTAATGGTCCCTGCCAAAACAGAGAACACTCCTCACACTCTTTACTCTATGGATACTTTTTTGTAGCATTTTCAGTGGTTTTTCATAACAAACAATACAAAATATATTATTTTGGTTCTGCTTTGGGACAGGGATTGTGGTTTGGGATGGAAACATCCCAAATATGGTGGTGGGAAGGTGTAATGGTGGTGGTGTTGGTATTTGAATATTAAATGTAATCAAATATTGTGAATTACCTTACAAAATAAAAAAATTAAAAAATGCAGGCCCTGGGATCGAGCCCAGATGACAGAAACAGAACCTGTGCGGGGCACCCCAGGTAGGTGTGCTTAGCCAGTGCCTGGCTGGCGCAGGGATCTGCATGTTCTGTATGGGGGTGTGCTCGTGACCAGTGGAAGATGCTCTTGTCTACAAGACAATCATGATGGTGCTTCTCATCCCCAAGGATCATGGCTTTCTTTCCTTTTCCTGGAGTGGTGACACAGATTTTTTTAATAGTTTGGGCTTGAGATTGACCCTTGTCTCAAGGGGGATCTTTCTGAGGAAGCAAAGCCAGGCCAAGAGGAAGACTCAGCGCACAGAAATGCTGCAGGGAGGGCCAGGGCATTCAGCGGCTGACTTTTGGAGTTGGGGACCAGCCATCAGCTAACCTGCAGAGGGCAGCCCTGTCCACAGCTTGATGTGGGGAGCACTCAGGGGCTCCAACACTTCCCAAGGAGAAGCCTGTTTCCAGAGAGGGCTACTTCTCACCTCTGTTGCTCTTAGGGAGGGGCACAGAGGCACCAGGGACCAAATGGATGAGTGTGCAGGCTGGGCCATAAATGCCACATTCTGTTCAGCTGAGGATTAAATGGAGACTCTCAGACTCTTAAAATGAGGATAGTGGGGCACAAGGACCTGGTAAATCCTTGGTTTGAGTTATTTTCTTTATTTTAATTTTTTTTTTGTCACACTGAGGAGTACTCAGGTCTTACACCTGGCTCTGTGCTCAGGGATCACTCCTAGCAGTGCTCAGGGGACCATATGGGGTGCCAGGATTTGAACCTGGGTTGGCAGCATGCAAGGCTAGTGCCTATGCCCACTGCATTATTGCTCTGTCTGAAACTGAGTCATTTTCTACCATACAAAGTCAATTAAGGGAAACTTTCTGGGGGCAAGTAAGAGCAGAGAGCCATCTAATTTAGACACGATGAAGTGAGTCACATCAAAAAGCACCGTCTCCTAATTACTTTTTAGTTACACTGGGAAGAGGAAATGACAAAAGTGTCTATAAGACAAATATTCAAGACGTTTTCCAGTTTCTCGGACTACTGCTCTGATCCAAGAGAACTATCTCCAGGACCATCTTTTGAAGCTGTGTGTGTGTGTGTGTGTGTATGCGGGGGGCAGGTGGAGGAGTGGGGCAGGTGGGGGGTCCACAACAATGGGAGAGTGGTGAACAATGTCACACTCTGAGTCCCAGAAGGGGGCCATCCTAGAATGAAGGTATGGGTGAGCCTGGGATTAGAAGGCACCATGCAGCAATTATCCATTAGAAGTCTATCTCATGCTCATGATTAATTCGCTAATGAGCTGTAACCATATCCACGTGAGATGTATTCCCAGAACCCCACAATGGGCCCAGCATCACAGGCACACACGGGGTAGGGGATGAAAGAAGTCAAACACACCTTGAGAGGCAGAAAGTTAGTGCCACATGCAAGTGAAGAAGAGATCGTTGGAAGACATGAGGCCTGAAGACAGCTGAACGAACACATTCAGCAGGAAGCAAACAAGTACCGGACTCTGTGGAGGGGGTCTGTGTGCCAAGCACGAGAGAAGCACTGAAAGCCAGAAGCAAAGCGTCAGACCAAAGCAGGTCTTCCTGGACATGACCCCTAGGACAGAGGTGACACTGCTGACACCAACTGAATCAGACGTTCAATTCCACCATGCGTTCAAAGCAACACTTTCATTAAAGGAAAAAGACTGTCCACCTGACAGTCATAGTTTATCAGTGATGATGAGAGCAGCTACGTTGGTCACACTTTGATAGGTATTTGGCAAACTTAATTCTAATATCTAACAAGCACAGCAGCCCTACGGAATGGAGGTTTTGAATTATTCCCCTTTCACAAGAGTCTGAGTCTCAGTGAGCAGCAGGAGTTTGTCCACCGTTGCATATGTATTAAATGGTAGAGTCAGAATACATATATGAGTAGGGTAGTTCGAGAAATCTTTCTCTAAGCATGAAAGCCATACCAATTTTATGATTTGGTGGTAAGGCTAGAACTTCTCAGCTAAAATAGCTGAGGCATGCAAATCATCTGTGGTCTTACGGAATGATGGATTCACTGAACCTTCCCTCGAGAGCATGCTTTCCCCACCAATACCTTGTTTTGTCCACCAGTCCTGAAATCCTTTCTCCATCTACCCGAATTCTCCATTCTTTTAATGGCAATTCAATCTTGGTATGAGAAAAGACTGAAAGTTTTCTGGCCTCCTCAGTCTTGCAGTGACCTTCCCCACCTCTGAACCCTTCAGCCATTTGTGATTCCTCGAATCCTTCTGCTTACTTCAATTTTGCCAATATTATGACTCAAACAAGATTCAAAATGCCTTACTGAGCTGCAGTTTCTCTGAGCACTGTGACCTGTGTGCAGCGAACCCTTGTTCCTCGTTTCAAGGTAGATGGTGAACTGTTTGCTCTAAACAAGGAGGGAACAGGCATGGGACCTACTTCCTTCATGAATCATAGGAGTAAGAAAACACGGATCCAGCTTCTTTCAAAATGAGCAAAATTGGTGTTGTTTTTTTCTTAATAGGGGGGTAGGTGGGTTGTCAGTTTAAGAAGATGTTGGCTATCAATCATCATCACTATGACACTGAAAAACATCCATTTATTTCTGTTAGCTGCAAATAAAATCCCCTTTCAGCCAAGTTTCCCTTTGCTTTAGTCCCATTTTCAGGACCTTACAAGCTCTGGAGGACTTAGCTCAGTTCTGATAATGTGCTTAAAGTGTCCTAGGGCCCATCAACAATCACCTGAATATCATGAACTAAGAACATCTGGAGTCACTGACACCTTGCACCTCCCAGATCTGTCACTTGCTGTCTGGGCAACTTGGAGAAGTCACTTAATTCTTCAAACCCTCAGTTTCCTACATAAGCTGTCTCTATCTACATAAAAGTGTATCTTTCCCACCAAACCTGTAAAAATCAAATAAAACAAAGCAGGCATTAAATGAGGGAGAGCTACCAAGGCTAGTGTAAAATCCTTCTCACTAGGCTTCTTCCTCTAGCTTCTGTCAAGATATTCTCTATATGCCAAGAATCTTGGCTTTTTAAACGCTCGTATCTCTTCAGGTCCCACATAATGACCATCACAAGTCTTAGATTATGCTTCAACCACCAACATTTCTGCTTGTATTGTCCAAATTTCCTCCATTCATCCTGTGCCCTAACTTTGCAGTTCCCAATTCAGGGATTTAGAGGGTCAGAGCAGGTGATGGATGGAAGTCTGGGGAACACATAAAATGAATAGCACCCGAAAGTCAATCGTGGAAGCTGCTGGAGTGGCGGAAATTATGGCTGAGTGCAGAACTCACGGCAGCAATTCTGCTACTGGAAAATAAGAATATGGAAAAGCTCTAGCCTTCATGTAAAAGTTCCTAGTTCTGTCTATCAGTTAAGATTTTTAAATATTGTGAGGCAAAACCAAACATTTTGTTAACAATGGGTTGGCAGTTGATGACCTGTGCTTTAAACACTCCAAATTCTGTTTTATTCATTTATAAGGTCTTCTATAACCACACCAGAAAAAAATTAATTCATTTTTATCAGTATGTACAACCTAACTGATAAACTTCTATGCATTTTATATAGCATTCTGGACCATTAATTTTTCTCCATCCCATTTCAGGTTAAAGGAGTTGAGTTTTGTTGATCTGTGTTGTATGTACTTTGTTATATGTGTTCAATAGCTGATAAGAGAGAATGAAATGATTTTGTATTTCTCTATGCAGATATTCTCAATCTCTATCTGCAAGCACCAGCAACTTTGGGCACTCACATTTCTCTTCCATTTCCAGACATCTTGAATCCCCCAAAGGGACTCTGGGCATTCAAAGCATTGTAACAATTGATCCTGAAAGAAGAAAACACAGAACCATAAGTGGGAATTCTATTTGTAGATAAATAATATCACTGGCATGATATTTCTTTTAAAGTTTCCTCAGTTGGGCAGATAGCCCAGGAAGTTGGAGCATATGCCTCACAGCACCTGCCTTGCAGGCTTCAGCCCTGAACTTGAGCCCAAGTGAGGTAACAGAGGACTGCATACTCATGGCCATAGGGCCCTGAGTACCAGTGGGTCAGGAAAGCATCACTTCACACTGGACCACCTAGCCCAGTTGGCTGAGCAATTCTGGAGGTGGCATGTAGGCCATCCGAGTATTGCCTGGGATTACCCCACCCCCATCCTGCTTCATGCCAAATAAAATAAAATAAAGTGTTGTAATTGAAGATGTCCTTTGCTTCCTGATCTAGCCAATAAGGAATGCATCTTTTTACAGGATGAAATCCAATTGCCTTTGTCTCCTCTCCCGTTCCAGAGAATATATTTCTGTAGCATCCAGACCCAGAAGAATCACAACATCCTATACCACCAGGGGAATGCGCTTATTCCGATCTTACCAAACAGTTCCAGCTTGCATTGCAGAAGACACTGTGAGGGCCTTGTTGATGTCATTAGTGAAGACAGCCGCAACGAGGCCAAACTCTGAGTTATTGGCTCTTTCAATAACTTCATCCATAGTCTTAAATCTCAGAATTTCCTGAACAGGACCAAAGATCTGTAGCAAAACAGTTTGACCCCACATGGTCGCTTTGCTGTTTCATCCCCAAAGCTCCACAGTTTAAATCAAGTTTATTCTGGCTATATCTTTTTAAAGACATTTAATTTTCTCAGCAGAAACCTAAAAATATATCCCCATTCTTTCCACCAATAAGATAGCATAAAAGTCTACCTTCAAGTGTGTGCTGACTGCTCCATTCCCCACCCCCCACCCCCATCCCCCAGATTTCTTTGATTCTACCAGGTTTACCAAGGCAATGTTTTCATGTCATTCAGACTGAGGGCTATTGCTCCGGAATGTCGGCTCATGGGCTCATCTGCTACTGCATAAACACGAAGATGCTCAGATACAATCTCCTGTCCATGGGGGAAACCAAACTGTTGCTAGTGTACCACTGAGATCAGTCATAGGCTATTACATGAATTCAGTTGGCTAATAGTAGCAACCACCTAGCCACTATCCACACACTTGCCTTTTTAATCTTTTCCTCTTCAGAGTGAGAATTTTATAGTCATGACTGCTGTAACGTAATGCATATCATCCAAAGAGCTATAGCTCTAATTTCTAGATGGCCCCGTAGGCCATCCCAGGAACAGCATAGATTTAGTTAGAAATATGAAGTTGATACCTCCTCTTTGGCGATCCGCATGTCATCAGTGACATTGGAAAACACAGTGGGCTCAATGAAGAATCCCTTTCTCCCCAGTCCTTTGCCTCCACACTCTAGCTTGGCACCTTCAGCCACTCCACTCTGGATGAGTTCCAGGATCTTATTATATTGCTTCTTATCAATCTACAGGAAAAAAATCACCCAATGAATTCATGTGAAAGCTTCCATGAAAAATGAAAAAAAAAGAAAAGCACTTTATCTGTGACTGTTTTCAATTCATAACTACATCTAGTCAACTAACATAATAGAACACAACCCACTTTTGACCATTGAAAGATGTTGATTTTGTATGATCTCAACCTAAATATTAAAAATTCTATAAATGCACAGCTTTGAGGATACCACCAAATCAGAATCATCAGTTGTAAATTTTGGCAATTTTTGTAAATAATGACAGACTGACTTGTTGATTACTATTTATAAGAGGAAAAATTAACCTCAACAATGAAATGAATAGTTTTAGCAAGTGGTAGGAATAAAAACAAAGCGATAAAAACAACAGATAGGCTACATTGTGCTACACATCAAATCCACTGGGATTTATTTATGAAACTCCTACTACATGTAGCAGAAATGATCATATTTAAAGAATGAGGGTTAGCTTCCTACTCCATAAACTAAGGTGAGCCTCTTGGTGAAAATTACAATGGTTAGTAGAGAATGTGGAGGGGTGTGGGAAGAATGGGTAGGGAAGTCTGTAGTATGGCACAGAAACTTTGGTAATAGAGGTGCTGAGCATTTTACCACTACAACAGAGGTATTAAATTAAGCCTCTGAAATTCTGCAATACTACAAATCAATGATAAATCAAAGACAAAAGGGCTAAAAGCAAGTAAAAGGACAGTCTTGCTCCCCTCAAAGTTACAGTTATTGTTCTATTGTTATGGTAAATAATGTAAAACCATAAAACCTAAATTTACTTGAGTTCAAACTACTCTGCTAGAATATTAACCTTCAATCAAGAGGTCCTCAAACTTGAGAGATGCTGCTTCTGATGGGAAAAATACAGATATAATGACCCGGAGGAGATGAGTTCAGATATTCCTTTTAAAATTACTAGAATCAGGCTGGAGTGATTAGTACAAGAGGTAGGATGCTTGACTTGCATGAGGCCAACCTGGGTTTGATCCCCAGCAGAATCCCACCAGAATTGATCCCTGAGCACAGTCAGGAGTGAGCCCTGAGTACAGCCAACTATGGCCCCCCAAACAAACAAAAAACATTCTCAGACCTGAGGGGAGAAGAAGGAAATGGGAGGGAGATAACAAGGGTCAGGGATCAAGGGCCTGGGGTACATTTGGTGACATAGAAGGGTGGTATGGCTTTAGAGTCAACAGGACTGAAAACATGAGATCCAAACTACAACAACCAAACTCAAAAATGTTCCTGTCAAAGAGGAAGGCTGGAGGGCAGGAGGAACCTGGGGATACTGGTGGAAGGAGGTTGAGGTTGGTGATGGGGTTGCTGTTGGAACATTGTATGACTGAAACTCACTATGAATAACTTTGAAAATCAGTGTCTTAACAAAACATTAAAATTTTCAGAATTTTACAGAATTCATTTACAGTTTAACATAGGAGTTCTATGTGGAAATATCTCTTAATCGTTACAGAGAAACTGCAGAGCTAAAGAGAGAATGAGGGGGGCTTTTTTTTTTGTTTGGAGGGGCACACTTGGCTGAGTGCAGGGTGTCTTCCTTTACTCCTGGCTCTGCCCTTTGGTCTCACTACTAGTGGCCTTGGGGATCATCTGGGGTTTGAAGGACTGAACTCAGGCTGATCACATGAACTCAGGCTGATCACCATACCCACTGCACGACTGCTCTGGCTCCTAAAGAGTGAACTTTGACGATCCTTCCAACCAACAGTGTGTGAGCATTCAGAGTGAGAGCAGAGGGGAAAGTTGCTCTTCATTTCCTACGCATTTGTAAGCCACAAGTGAGTCTTCCTAAAGCAAGGTCAAGTTGACGAAGAAATTTCTTGGCAGCAGACAAAAGGATAAATGACTCTGGGAAGAAAACAGCCCAACTCTACTGGACTGTGGTGTTATTAGCGACCTCTTCCACTCAGTGCTTAGGGCTGGGAGTGGGTCAAGAGCCAAGAGTCATACTTTACCTTCCCAGGGCTTTCTTTGGAGCTTAAGATACTCCAACTTATTTCCAAAGTTCAAAGTAACCTTGACACAACTCGAGTTCTTTAGTTTTTCAGGTAAAAATCTTAGAAAGGGAAAGAGAGACCTAAGAAATCACAGTGCTTCACTAGTCTTTCTTTCTTTCTTTCTTTCTTTCTTTCTTTCTTTCTTTCTTTCTTTCTTTCTTGAATTACCACAGATAAAGCATTATAAAGCTGTTCATGATTGGGTTTCAGTCATACAATATTCCAACACCCATCCCTCCACCTGTGTAATTACCCACCACCAGTGTCATTCTCCCCACCCCCTTCCCACCTCTCTCTCTCTCTCTCTCTCTCTCTCTCTCTCTCTCTCTCTCTCATTTTTGGCATTATGGTTTGCAATACAGCTACTGAAAGGTTATCATGTATATCCCTTTACCTACTTTCAAAACTCAGTTCTTGTCCAGAGTGATCATTTCCAACTTTTGTTTTCATACTGGATCTTCCTATATCTTAACTCCCCTCATACCTCCCACAATGCTTGTGGTTATTTCCAACCAATGACCAGTCCTTCTACACTGGCCATTTTTAAAGTCGCGAATAAATCAGAAGAGTAGGAAAGCAGCAGAAAAGCATGAAGATGCTGTTTTGCAGGGTCAAGCTTCTGTGCTTACCAAGGGTTAAGAACGGGAGGGTTATAATTTCTCTACCTGGGGTCCCTGCTCAGTGGTGGGGTCGAAGGGACTCCCCACTATGCGTCTCTTGGCCCGTTCCACGCTTCTTCTCACAAACTCTTCGTATATGGATTCCTCAACAAAGATGCGGGAGCCGGCCGTGCAGCACTGGCCTTGGTTGAAGAACACACCCTGGTGGGCCTGCTCCACTGCATAGTCCACTAGGAGAGCAAACAGACATACATTCAACACTTCTTGGCCAACAGCGTGGCTTGTCCATAGGGTCACTTCCCTCCCTGTTCCCAGCTCACAATGCAGAACAGTGCCAGCACTGGGTGGAAAGCACAGGTGAGTTCTAACTAGACGCCACCTTCCCATCACTTGCTGGAGGGACTCTGACAATTTGACTTCTTTGCATCTCTTTGGATTATGCCTTCTACAGTAGAAGTTGTAACATGTCAAGGGACCCAAAATATAATGCAATGCAATTTAAAAAAATTAACTAAGAGAGAAACTAAGAGAGAAAGCCACTGCATTTTGGCTGTTAATTTATATACGACTATAAGATCAATGGTTGTTAGGCTGCCAATTTTAAGAAAAATATAATTTTTAATGTAAAGTTGACTTTTTAAAAACACTTTGTAATATTAAGAGTATTTAGGTGATCTCCATACTGCATTTGTCTTGTTAACTACCAATTTACAAACACTTACAACCTGAATGCACTGGATTTATAGAACCTTGTAACTCTGTGTTTAGTTAGTAGCACTGTAGCACTGCCCTCTCATTGTTCATCGATTTGTTTGAGCAGGCACCAGTAATGTTTCCATTGTGAGACTTGTTGTTACTGTTTTTGGCATATCAAATACACCACAGGGAGTTTGCCAGGCTCTGCCATGCGGGCAGGATACTCTTGGTAGCTTGCTGGGCTCTGGGCTCTCCGAGAGGGATGGAGGAATCGACCCGGGTCGGCTGCGTGAAAGGCAAATGCCCTACCTGCTTTGCTATCACTCCAGTTCTTTTAGTTTAGTTAGTATTTTGGGAAATTTATCAAACTGTATAACAGTAGTGTATCAGCTTCAAAAACAGTAATTTCCTTTATACTTATGTGAAATTCGGCAGCAAAATAGGACAACCCATTTTTCACCTCATACATCCTACATTTCAAGACAGTTCTAATAAATCTCATGTGCAACAAATGAGTCACTCCGTTCATCAATATCATCTTGTCAATCAGTGCCTACATCTAGACAGGAATTCAGATAGAGAAAATCGGGTCCTTTTGATAGCCAGTATATAAAGCTGAACTCTGCAAATTAGTGAATGCTGATTTACTCTCTGATCAGGTGATTTGCTCTCTGGTCTCTTCAAGTGGGCAAACTGGGAAAGGAGAATGTGAGAAGGTTTGGGGATTTCGTTCCCTGGAAAGTGTCTCAGACCAGCATCCCCGCAGCTGTGCCTGCTGCTGCAGACATCAGGTTCCCCAGGATGCTCTGGGGCACACTCTTCTCTGATTTGCTCTATTCACTCAGAAGTGACCCACGTGCCTTACATGGAACAGACAGAAGGGACACTGATGCCTAAACAGAGAAAGGCTGTGAGTGTGGGCCCTGTTTGGGAGGGTTGGTAAAAGAGAAATTTTCATATGATCTACAAAGCTATCAGGCAGGAGGACTGAGGCATAGTGATTTTTCCGGCTGAGACTCCCACAAAGTGTTCAGAAGCTGATGTCAGTTCTCCTGGCACCATTCAGCACCGAGCTGTGCCTTTTCACCCTTGCCTACAACACAGAGTCAAGTGGCTCATTCGTCTCTAGAAAACAAACTTGGTCCAATTTTGATAAATGCTTATTAAAATATTTATCTATGTTTTCCCTTTGGAAGATCTTTTTCTTCTTGAGTTTCTCCTTTTATTACTTTAATTCCCCACTCCATCCCACCCCACCCCTTGGTGTTAAAGTAGACACACGAAGGCTGTTGCAGGAGGCACTGGGAAAGCTATGTGGGGCTGACTTACAATCGGCATCAGCAAAAATAATATTGGGGCTTTTCCCTCCAAGTTCCAGGGTTACTCGCTTCAGATTACTTCTCCCAGCTGCTTCCTGGATAAGCTTCCCAACCTGAAAGAGAGGAGATGGGGTGAGGTCTCACAGGCCTTCTTGTTGGCAGAAAAAGTGGGCAGAGTCTGATCCTGGCAGCAGTCAGCTGTGGCAGTCAAAGATCCTGCAAGGCAAACCAACACACTGAATGCCCACAGGAACGACTCCTGTGGTCAGCTTGTGTGGATAACAGAAGCTGAGGTACAGTTTAACATCTATGCTTCATTCAGCTGGAAGATTGCTTTAGTTCTGTGATACTCGTGGGATCAACAAAAATGGGGTTAAATTTGGAAACGTAATTATGGAAAAATTTCTGTGAAGACATCTGGCAAACAAAATGTGACATGAGGATCCACCATTGACAGACACTTCGGGTTCTTGGGGCCTCTAAAACTGCACCCAGTGATGCTTGTGTAGTGCTGTTAGCTTTGGATTCTGATTTCCAGGGAAAAAACCAAATGGTTTCTCCTGAAAGCACAATGGATGTAAAAAAATCTTTTGTATCTCCAGAAATGTCAGGTATGACTTTAGTTACATGATTTGAAAAGATTAGACTGTGATTCTTCTGCCTTTGTTTAGCCTATATCCAGATAGCTATAAGGAAGTTGGATGGTTGGAGGACTTTATTTGTGCAATGCTTATTTATGTAGAACTAAGCAAACTAGAGGCAAATTTCGGAGAAAGCATGCATAATTGTGTTGCAATTCCATTTCCAATAAAATTCAAAGTATCAAAAAAGAAACAGAGAAGTGTTTCTTCAAGGAAGAATGTACCACCTCACATTTTCCTGAATTTCTCCACAGTTTTCAATATTGCTTATTGTTTTTGCTAAATGAAGTCTGTCAGAAGGAGTGGGGAACTCTAGAATGATCTTTCTCTTGTGTGGAATATAAAGAAACACAGCAGTGAGTAACAGAGGTATCTGTCTCTATAATTCCATCCATGTCATGGAAAATTGGATGTTTTGTGCTACAAAGATATACGACATCAAAAATACATGGAATAAATATCAACTCACAAACCACTGGAACAGAATGGAGAGTTCTGAGTTAAACCCCCAGATTTAGGGGCAGTTATTCCAGAACAAAGGAGCTTAGTATATAAGGGGAGCAAATAAAACCTCTTGAACAAATGGGTTGGGAAACTGGACAGCCATATGTCACAAAATGAAATTGAAACCGTACCTCATACCATTCACTAAGGCAAACTCAAAGTGTATTAAAAACATCAAGATTAAACAAGAATCCATTGAATACATCAAATAAAAATTAGGCAGAACTTTCCAGGAAATGGACCCAGAGGTATTTTTAATGAGATGAGCACAGAGGAAAAGACAAAAATAAACCTAAACAAGTGGGGCTTCAAACCTAAACAAATAAGAAATCTTCAGAGCAAAAGAAGCTAGAACAAAAATAAAATGACATCCTACTGAATGGGAGAAAATATTTTCACTCAAGATAAAGGGCCAATATCCAGAATCTATAAAGCACTCACAAGGTTCAACTGCACTGCACTGCAGCACTGTCCTCCTGTTGTTCACGGATTTGCTCAAGTGGGTACCAGTAACATCTCCATTGTGAGACTTGTTGTTACTGTTTTTGGCATATAGGATATGTCATGGGTAGCTTGCCAGATTTTGCCATGCGGGCGGGATACTCTCAGCAGCTTGCTGGGCTCTCCAGTAAGGAATTAAACCCGGTTGGCTGTGTGCAAAGCAAATACCCTACCTCTGTGCTATTGCTACAGCCCACACAAAGCTCAACAACACAACAAAATCCAATAATCCTATTAAAAATTGGTAGAAGAGATGTACACACTTCCCAAAAGAAGCAATAAGAATGGCCAGTAGGCATTTGAAAAAGTGCTTATCATCCACTTCTGATAAGGGGGATGAAAATAAAAGCCACAGTGAGACAGCATTTCCTACCAGTGAGACAGCAAATGTCTGGAAACAGTCAGTGTTGGTGGGGTGATGGTGAGAAAGAAACCCTTATTCGCTGCTGGTCAAAATGTTGTTCAACTGCTATGGAAAGCAATATGGAGATTTCTCAAAAATGTAGAAACAAAATCTCTCTTTTAACCTAGATATACCAATTCTTGCATCGACCCCCTCCCCAAACACAAAAACATTGATTCGAAAGGACACAGGCATATCATATTCATTGTAGTGCCACGATATGCAAACAACCCAAATGCCCAATTGCAGTTGAGTGAATCAAGAAATTGTGGTACATATACACAGTGGAATATTGTGCCGCTCTAAGAAAGCATATATCTTACTCTACAGATGAGCAACTTGAGCACTAGATGCCACAGGAGCTGCAGGTTCTCAGGGGTTATTGGCAAAGCCTTTGGGACTCTGTAGGCGACTCCTCTCCTCTCCCCTCCCTTCCAACCTCTGCCCTTTCTCCTTCCTGTCTCTGTTTACTGGGCACTTAGCAGCTGCCATAAGCTTCCCATACCATCTCCCTCAATTTCAAAGGAATTAAAAAAAAAGTAGGAACACCACCTTCTATTGACATTATGAGGCTCACAAATCAGTTACAAAATCTGTAACTAATTTCTGTCAGGCATTCAAAACATAAGGAAGAGCAGGCAAAATCATGGGTTTTTACACGTTCTGAGACAAGTGATAAATGTTTAGAGTTATGAAAAATAGAACTTTCCTGGCTGGCATTAAATTTGTTAGTCCCAGTTCATAATATTTACCTAACATATAACCTAACATTCTATGTGTTGCCGCTAAGAATGTTAGTGATTATTTCATGGCTACAGCAGTAACTATGTAACAATCTCGCTCAGTCTATGATAATAGGAGAATACCCTAAGAATAACTTTCCCCATTCCAATGTTTTGCCAATCTTTCCTCAGAAATCAAATTTGTGCTAAACACTGAAGGAAAATCTCAGATTAGTAATGTATTTTCTCTTCATTTTTGAAAAGAAAAGTTGTGGCCTTGTCTTGAGAAAGAAATGGACATGTCAGACTATACTAGAACAACTTCCATCTGAAAAAAAAAGTTTCTCATAATCTCTTCATTTAAAAACTCTTTCTTGTCCTCCTCCTGTGGGCTAGGTTCATTTCAGGGCACAGTCCCTTACTGAAAACTCACAGCTAAAAACACTGTCCTGTATACCTAGCATGTACTCAGTAAGTATGGCTTTGCAGTTTATGGAGAGAAAATTCAGGTTCTAATTTAATTTTGCATCTAAACTGGTGAAATGATGATTATGCAGCACTTCACTATAGTCAGAACACCCAGACCTTACCCCTGGAATTAGGGTAAGTTATCCTTCATTAATAATTGGATCAACCTTCATTAATAATAGGATCAAGCACCAAATGAATTCCCAGGACTTGGTCAGTTTCCAGCTCAGATTCTCTTTGGAGAACATATTATCACCTTTGAATTCACTGAATGGAACAAGGTTAAGAGTCCCCAGACATGATGCCCCCATCATCTCACTCCCATGGAGAGGAAAGTGGTGCTGAGGAGTAGAACATATGAAATTGCAAAGTAGGGATTCTTAAGAGCAAAGGATAGTATGTTCAAAACAAAGTGTTTACAGAGGAACTGAACTGTGAACTCATGGAACAGAGTAGGCCTAGTGCAAGTCTACCTAAAATTTTACTTGTGTAAGTCCTAGGCAAATGTCTAAAATTAAGAATGGCATTCTGAGGAAGAAAGAATAAACAATAGAATCTAGGATGATCTGAATCTTCTGAGAGGAAAAGGCAGTGATGAGCAGGTTCAGTGGAAATGTGTGGCCACAAAAATCTCTTCACTCTATTTACAGCATGGTCAGATGGGGCAAGTTCATGGGAAGAAACCTGAGGCTGCAAGGGTGCTCAGTCTTCTGAGTAGTTAAAAATAAAGTCAGTAACTCTAAGATATATAAATCACAGGAAGACCTTAAGAAGAAAATAAAAGCAAGCAAGCCTATTAAAAATGGGGAGAAGAGATGAATAGAAATTTCCTCCAAAAAGTCATCAGATTATCAATTGGTATGTTGATCACATGAAATGCAAATAAAAACAAAGAGATATTACCTCACACCAGTGAGACTGGTACATGTCACAAAGATAAAAACAAACAACTGATATTGACATGGACATGGGAAAGAAGGAACCCTCCTTTCGCACTGCTGGGGGAAATGCTGACTGGTTCAACCTTTTTGGAAACAATATAGACAATTCTCAAGAAATTAAGACTTAAACTTCTATGTATTCCAACAACTTCACTTCTTGTCATCTATCCAATGGCCCCCAAACTACTCAGAAAACAAAACAAAACATTTGAGCTCCTATGTTAATTGAAGCACTATTCATTGTATTCAAACTCTGGAAACTACCAAGTACCCCAAAACAGATGACTAGATAAAGAAACTATGGTACATATACACAATGGAACACTACACTACTGTAAGAAAAAGATTAAATCATGAATTTGCTGCTACATGGATGGAATTGGAGGGGATCATGCTGAGAGAAGTTACTGACAAGGAGAGAGATAAATATAGAATAATCTCTCTCACATGTGAGATAAAAAGAACCCATTGTAAGGGGGCAACAAATGGCACACAGTAACAATCTATGAACTGATTTCCAAAGTGAATCTTATTAGGGAAGTAAGATGGGAAGGATGGGAAGAGTGTGGTGGGGATGGTAAGGGGTTCGAGGGGGGGATGGTGGTAGGGGGAGGAAGAAACTCTGAGACAAAGATGGAGGGAAACGGGAACTATGGTGACATGTCAGTGTTGGAATGTCGTATGCATGAAACCCTACCAATGACAGCATTTTAAAACTAAAATTTAAAAAGTCAATAGTGACAGACCCAAGACACACGAAAGAATCTCGGAACCGAGCAGTTCGCTGCAGAGATGCCTCTGAACCTTGCACCAGGCCAATTTCACTGGAGTGCCTCAGACAGGAACAGGCGTCATCCCTCAACCTTCTCCTTAGGAATCCCAGGGGCTGCCAACTTTCAGAACCCAAAGAAAATCCCAGGTATGCGGGATCAG